AACAATATCAGCAAGTATTATTTACCTTGCTCTGCTCCTAAAATGTGTCCACTTATTGATTTAATCCCCTACTCATTTATCCATTCTCAGTGACTGAAGCTGACAAATTGCAAAAGAAACCTGCAGATTTAAAAAAAAACTTTTCATATGTTCCCAGTCATTTAAAATGTACATAAATACCATTACCATTAATCCTCCAGGAATATACTGGATTTCCATGCTCCTACCTATGCACTTCTAAGTTTCTTAAGTCCTGGATGAGAGCTAACTTTCTTCAGTTGAACGTCAACAAGACTGAGACACTCCTGATTGGCTCTCGTCAGTGCCTCCATACCTCAGGCATTGACAGCATCACCATCCAAGGATGCACACTCCACCTTACTAAGCCAGTCCAGAACCTTGGCCTCCTGTTGACCCTCAACTATCCTTTCTACACCACATCTGTGCCATGTCCATGTCCCACTCTGCCTTCCCCCACCTCCGCAACATCACCTGCCTCTGCCATTGTCTCACACCACAGGCTGCCAAAACCCTCATACACGCATTCATAACATCGAGGCTTGACTATGCAAACTCCTTGCTTGTCGGCCTCCCCAGCACCTCCCTCCATAGGCTGGGAATCATGTTGCAGTGGTGCAGTGGGAAGGCAGTGTGGTCATGGCATGGATGAAAGGCTAGTTGAGGCTCAAGCAAGACCAAGGTTCTGAACTGGCTCAGTGAGGTGGAGTGTGCATCCTTGGATGGTGATGCTGTCAGCCCCTGAGGTGCAGAGGCGCTGATGGGAGCCAATCAGGAGGGTGTCGGTCTTGTTGACGTTCAACTGTAGAAAGTTAGCTCTCATCCAGGACTTAATGTCTACAGACATGCTGTCAAGAAAGCAGCGATCCTGGAGTCAAGGGTGGAGACAGAGAGATAGAGTTGAGTGTCAACCCCATACATGTGGAAATTGGCCCCATATCTGGGGATGATGTCTCCAAGAGGGAGCGTACAGGTATTGAAAAGGAGGGGACTAAGGACAGAGCCCTGAGGAACTCCATACAAGACGTTGTGGGGGCTAGAGGAGAGGCTGTTTGTGGAGATGAAGTGGAGACAGTGTGACAGTTGGATCTCAAGCATTCAAGGACAGAACCGTGAAGGTTGAGGTGAAAGGAGAGGCGGTGGAGGAGGATAGAGTGGTCAACAGTATTGAAGGCAGCAGAGAGGTCGAGGATGATGAGGAGGCAGAGGGAGCCCTGGTCGCAGATGGACAGAATGTCGTTTGTCACTTTGACCAAAGCTGTTTCTGTGCTGTGGATGGCACAGAAACCCGATTGGAGGAGTTTGTGAAGGGAGTGGCGGCAGACAAGAGTACACACTCGTAGGTGGCAAGATATCAGCTCATTCATTGTTAAAATTGAGGCATAAATACCCCTCTGACTATTGTTTATACATTGGAATTTGCAATGGTTTTTCCTGTCACCTGGAAAATCTGCGTAGGATACTGTGTTGCGAAGCTTGTCATCTGAGTCAGTTAACGCTTTTCAAACATACCTACACATACATGTACTCCATCTATTTTGAAATAGGTTCACCGAAATAGGTATATATTCCTTCATTCAAACTAATCTTGTGCTTATTAGTGCCAGATTTTCCAATTGGAAGCCCATCCGTTGTTTCCATGTGTTTTTATTAGGTTCAATCACAGTGAGGCAGCATCATATTGTAACAGAAGTAAAAGTTGTTCTTTAATACACCAATAATGTGTCAACAAGTGAAACCAACACAAAGCGTCACCAGATATCCCATTGGTTTCGTACATACTGTGACATTTATAGAACAATCTAAAATCTGTAATGAAATGACAACACAAGGATATCAAGGAGAACTACAAACCCTCAGAGTCTAACAAAAAGAAGTTTGACAAGCCTATTTCCTTAGAAATTAAATGGGTCATGTTTTATAATAAAAAAGAGTCAGCGAAAATCAGACTGACAGTTTGGACAATGATTTTAGGTTAATCTGGAGTCTTTTTAATGGTTAATTTCACAATGGCGTTCTCAAAGCTTTTCATCGTGATTATCATTGGGTTCCTAATCATTATTGCTGTCCTTCCAGGCTTATTGTTGCTGCATCCAATGGAATAAAGTGGCTTGTCTGTATTGCTTAAAAGGTCAGCAGTGTGGGTTATGTATGGATATAAGCAGACAGTTTGGCAGTTGCTCGGTGAAGACTGTGGCTGGAAGCACACTGAAAAGAAGGATTATATTTAATCATAGGAGCTACAAATATTTGTGGTAGAATTTTCTGTACAGAAGACATTTTAGATTGGAACATTGGAACCGTATTACAAATTGGCAGCTGAAGTCCTATTTTCTTGGGAACAACTGCACACTAGATTAATTTGGGAATTTGGGGAATTTTTTTTGAGAGAAAAATAAGGTGTTTTCATAATGGCAAAAAATATAAAATTCAGGGCCTTGAATCATTTGTGAATACACAAATCTTGAGCACCATTCACAGGATGTAAGAGAATTGGATCTAAAATGTGGCATTTGCAGACTGAATTTGTTGTGTTAATTGTGGGCTTGTGGCTTGAGAATTTCTCAGCAAGAATCACAAATGGTGGATTGTAAATCCCAAAATGGAAAAATCTGATAAAAGGCAGGTGGCCCAAATGGTTGGTGGTTTGTTTGCTGGCTTTTTTCTGATTTTCTTCTGTTACGTAAGCTAAAAGATCTTGAGCTCTTCAATGCAAGAGGAACATGTCCATCAGTTTATACAATGCCTTACAGTCATCTATGAGATTATTGTGTTGACACCCAGATATTTGTAAAGAGTTTGTTTTAAGGACTGGTCTTTGTCCAAGGTTTGTGTTACTCAAAATGGTTGAAGACATGGTGTAGTCTTTTTTGTTGCTACATTGTATCCTGTCCGAATATTTTTACTAAAGCACAGAGATTACTGTCAGCACAAGTCGCCAGTGCTTGGTATGTAGAGCTCCTATTTTTTTGTTGGTTGCACACTATAAATTAGACAAATGGAAAATTCTCCATGAAAATTAATGTTCAAAGCGTCAGGTAGTTTCCAAACATGCACAATCCAAACCTAAACTGCTCAGACTTCTACACTCAAAATGCCAGCCTAGATGAAGGGTTCTATGATAAATGCAAGTTGTTGTAAGATATTGCAGATTGTTAGTTAACTCTAAAATATCCGCATAGATTTAAAATCATTGCCTTAAAATTCAACATTGTGCTGAATTTTAGAAAACAGTCTCAAATTTAGTCTGAATTTAAAAGCTGAGTTACCAGGGCGATTCGTACAAAATATCACACAATCTTTTTTTAAAAAAGATATTCAGCCTAAAGCCATGGGAAATGGCCTTGGTGGTTATTTAAGATGGATACTTAAAATCCTTCACACTCTTACTCCACCCTACCTTTGTGATCTCCGCTCAAATGTTCTCCCATTGCTAGGCAAGCTTTTAACCACTTTGCGTTTGTTCTCTGGAACTCGATCCATAAATCCCTCTGCTCTTTTAGTCTCTGTTTTCAAAAGCTATCTGTATGTCGTTGATGTTGTCTTCATTCATTTCCCTCCTATCCCCTTTTTCCTATCCTGTTCTGGCACAGCGTTTCGCCCACAAATATACAGTCAATTCACTTTACAGTCTATTCTGTGAAGTGCTTTGAGACGTCTAGAAGACGTGAAAAGCGCTATATCAAATGCAAGGATTATTATTATTAATAGCTTGATGCTGTGATGGGAGGAAGGTAGGGTGGGTATTCTGGAGGTATGACATATCGTGGGCCAAAGGGCCTTCGTCATCCAAACCAATTGTGATCTTGAATTTCATCTCTCCTGTGTTGGGTTTGATAATTTCCCGTGAAGAACCAAAATCATGAATTTCGTTTAGCCAAATCTGATTTAGTGAGGGTGTTACATAAAAATATAAGGAGTAGGAGCACGAGTACGCCATTCGAGCCCTCGAGCCTGTCCGCCATTTGATAAGATCATGGCTGATCTTCTAACCTAATTCCATTTACTTGCCCTATCCCCATATCCCTTAATCCCTTTAGTTTTTAAAAATCTATCAATCTCACTCTTGAATATGTTCAATGACTGAGCATCCACAGCCTTCTGGGTAGAGAATTCCATAAATTCACTGCCCTCTGAGTGAAGAAATGTTTTCTCAAATTAGTTCTGAAGGGCTGACCTTTAATCCTGAGACTATGATCCCTAGTTTTAGATTCTCCAACCAGGGGAAACAGTCTCATACTGTCTACCCTGTCAAGACCCAAAATAATCTTATAGCTTTCTATAAGATCACCTCTAATTCTTCTATATTCTAGAGAATACAGGCTAGTCTACTCAACCTATCCTCATAGGTGAACCCCCTTATCCCAGGAACCAACCTAGAGAACCTATGTTGCACCTCCTCTAAGGAAAGTATATCCTTTCCTAGATAAGGAGACCAAATTGCACACAATATAGTCTTTAGCTACAGGCTCTGAGATATTATACAAATCCAGGTTGTTATTGCTTGCAGCTCTCTTTTATACATGTTCTGCACGTTCTGCAGAATAAATAAAAATTATGCCAATACTGATCTGCGTTTACTGTATTCTGAAAGTGAATAAAGATATTTCTACTTCTCTTGCCGTCACACAAAATAAAACATAATTGGCTCTGGCTGGCAGAGAGGCAACTTAACAAAGTAAAATGCCTTTCAGTGCAAAAGAACAGTTTAACAGAAATTCACCAATTAGCAATTTTTATCAATTTAAAAACAGCTAGTTAGCAGCAGTCTGTTGTTTAAGGTTTGAGAGTGAATTGCTTAGCCTACAAGTGGCTGACCTGAATGTTATTAAATGCACGTCCTACAGATAGTAAAGTGATGTAAAATTAGAAATTTTCAGTAAAGCTATCTGCAGAGACTTTTTAAGTCAATGCTTTTGCTGTAATTATTTTTAATAGATAGGTACTCCACTTTGAATACTGTTTTCTTCTCTCCTTTAAAGGCAAGAAAATGGGAGAGGCCACTTTACCTCTGGACTGAGTCTTCAGAAGCTGTGTCTGATCTGCGGTGATGAAGCCTCGGGATGTCACTACGGAGTCCTTACATGTGGAAGTTGTAAGGTTTTCTTCAAAAGAGCTGTTGAAGGTAGAATTTTTTTTCTGTTAGGTGATGCTGGGTTTTTTCTGTCCCCTAATAACTTAGCCTGAAAGTTGGGAAAATGTTCACAGCCGACTGAAGGAAATAGATTTGAATCTAATCGATAGAATGAAAACCTTGATACTTTAGGGTACGGTGTTCCAACCTATTTGCTGCCGAGGGCCAGATGCCCCATTGAGAAATATCCATGGGCTGCATAAGCAATATTTTTGTGTGTTCCCTTCCAGAAACTTAACATTTACAGGTTATGGAGATAGATGGGTGGCCAGATGCGGACCACCCTGCTTTTAGGGATTGTCACTTATCCTTATTAACCAGTGAGAAATGCATTGGTTAGTGAATCTATCTGGAACTCTCTCCCCAAATCTCTCCACCTTGCTCCTTTCCTTCCCAATGATTCTCTTCCCTCATACCTTCTCCACCTCTGATTTCCAAAATCCATCTAAGAACCTTTCTTTGACATTCCCTTTGGCCACTTTCTGGTTAAACCTCCGTCTCCCGTACGCAACCTAGGCGTCAGGTTCGACCCTCAATTATCCTTCCTCCCACATCCGGTCCTTCACCAGCACCGCCTTTTTCCACCTCCGTTGCATCGCCCATCTCCTCCAATACCTCACCCCGAAAGCCGCTGAAACTATGGTCCATGCCTTTGTCACCTCTCGGCTGGACTACCCCAACGCCCTCCTCGCCGGTCTCCCATCCACTACCATCCATAAAATCCAACTCATTCAGAACTCTACTGCCTGCATTCTCAACCGCATGAAACTCCGCTCCCCGATCACCCCAGTCCTTGCCAGACTGCACTGACTGCCTATCCCAGATAGGATCAATTTCAAGATCCTCACCCTCGTATTCAAGTCCCTGCACTCCTCTGCACCCCCCTACCTCTCTGATCTCCTTTCTCCTCAAAACAGCACCCGTTGCCTTTGTTCCTCTGGGTCTGGCCTCCTCCTTGTCCCCTGAGTCCTCTGCTCCACCCTCGGTGGTCGTGCCTTCAGCCACTATGCCCCGAGGCTCTGGAACTGCCTTCCTCACTCCCTTCGTCTCGCTCCCTCCCTTCCCATTTTCAGGTCTCTGCTGAAGACCTTTCTTTTCGACCGCGCCTTTGGTCACCTTCTCCCCCCTCCCCCTGGCTCAGCCCCAGCATCCGAAACTGTGAAGCGCTCTGAGACGCCGTCCGGGGTGGAGGGCGCTATATAAATCCAAGTTGTTGTTGTTGCTGTCGCCCACCCTGCTTGAGTTCCCACTCTCTCTCTCTATGACATTCTCCTCTGTAAACAGCCTTATCTAAGTGCAAATTATTGTTATTGACCCAGTGTGGGTTTATGGAAAGAAAATGCCATTATAAACTAATACTGCCAAGGTTGATAAACATATTGACTAGCAGAAAATATTCAAATTGGTAAATGTAAACATTTCAACCCTCCACCCACCAAGCTTGGGTACCTAGTCAATTGTGTGAACCATTTTAAGAAGTCGCAACATGAAAGGCGCTGTATAAATGCCAATTGCTGTAAATTACAGACAATTGAAGTATAAAGTGAAGATCCAGTTGGGTTTAATAGGATGTACAATTGCATACATTATACCAAGTAGAACAGTTTCAAAAGAGATTAAAGAAAACTGATCTTTCAGTGTTTCTGAAAATGTCTACCTGTGGCTACACTACTCACTTATTGCTGTAGAAAGGGGAACTCCAAACGTCACATATACGTCTGCTTACCAGCCTTTGACAGATCGGTTACCAGCACCTTGGGATGTCCTCCCGATGTGATACAAATGTAATTTTGTTGTTGTTGTTACTGTTAATTGTGAAGAAGCGATGTGACTATCGGCTCCTCTCAGTTGGTCAAAATACTGCCAGGAGGTTAAAAAAAACTATTTAAAAAGTTGGACTGCAAGTGATACAAAATGAAATAAAGATAATGTGAAAGAAAATCATCGTCCATTTCACAGTTATGAGTCTGAATCAACGGCTTTTCATGGCTGTTCCGTAGCAACAGCACGCTAAAAATATCAAAGGTGTAAATGTAACCATACAGAAAAACGAGATCATGAGGACGCTTAACAGTCTTTCCTGTGACCTTCCCCTCCCCAGCCCCGGTTCTCATTTCCCAGATACCAATCTGGCATAAGACGAATCCAAATTATCTAAGAGTGAATTTCCACTGCCTGCTGCTTCAAAATCAGTGGGTTAGTCCTTTGCAGAACACATCTGTTGGCGTTCATGATGCCAGATTGCAATCCATGTACAGCCAAGAAAGCTAATGTTTTCTGGCGTTTAATGGTTTTACAAGCAAATTCTTTCCAACAAGCAATGTCATATGGAATTATCCTTAATATTTTGCCATTACTGTGGCTGAATGTTTGGAACTGCATTGTAAATTACAGTGTAGAGTGAGTGAAAGTTAATTACGTATATATACAGGTGTGCATAGTAAGTGTCTTTAGTCTGTGCTGCAATATGGTTAATGTTTGCACTGTGTTATGCTCAGTTAATTCAGGCTTGTTTCCCCAGCCTTTCCGCACCACAGTTGGCGGCTGAGCATTCAGTTCTTACAGTCCTAATCTCTGTTAGTCTCTCCCTCTACCACTCTGTTTCCTCCTCTTTTTCTGTCTTTAACTTCTACCACTTCAAATGTACTGCACTGTGCAAACTGAACACACAATTTGTTTTGACTGCTGGAGATTTCTCCTTCCTATGAGGCAAGCAGAGCAGGGGAGTTATTTTGTCAGGAAGCAAACTTCATAGAATCATAGAATTATATAGCACAGAAGGAGGCCATTTGGCCCATCGTGTCTATGCCCGCTCTTTGAAAAGAGCTATCCAATTCAATCCCACTCCCCTGCTCTCTCCCCATAGCCCTGCAAACTTGTCCTCCCTAAATAATTACCTACTTCTCTCTTAAAAGTTGTTATCGAATCGGCTTCCACCACCCTTTCAGGCAATGTATTCAAGATCCGAACAACTCGCTGTGTAAATAATTTCTCTTCACCTCCCCTCTGTTTCTTTTAACAACTATTTTAAATCGGTGTCCTCAGGTTAGCAACCCACCCGCCAGTGGAAATAGTTTCTCCTTGTTCACCCTATCGAATTCCCTCATAATTTTGAAAACTTGAATTAAGTCTCCCTTTAACCTTCTCTGCTCCAAGGAGAATAATCCTAGCTTCTCCTGCCTCTCCTGATAACTGAACTCCCTCATTTCTAGTAAATCTCCTTTGCACCCTCTCCAATGCCTTGACGTCCTTCCTAAAGTGTGGTGCCCAGAACTGAACACAGGACTGTAGCTGTAGTGTTTTATAATGGTATTTAAAGGTATTTATACAGATTTGATGAGCCTCTGGCCTGTTTTTTTTGTTCCTTCCCATTGATGATATACAGTGTATATAAATGCAAGTTGTTGTAGCGGGTCCCTCACAATTTCAGTGCAATAACAATTGCTGGCCAAGTGGCTGATATCTGTAGCTAGAGACATAGCAACAAGGTAAGTGTTTTGAATTTTACTAAAAAAAAGTACAATTTTATTCCTTGATAATGTATTCAGATAGATAGAAAAAATGCAATTTGTTAATGCAAAATGGTTGGTAGGGGGTTAGGTGGTTGCAGAGGTATCAGGGAGCAAATCCATGGAGGACTTTGAAGGTGAGGACCAGGATCTTGAACTGTATCCTCAGAACAAACATTGCAATCAGATCCTCCCAAATAATTAAATTTCATTACCTTTACATTTGTATAATGCCGTTCAGGTTGACAGGACATCTCAAAGCACTTAAATGTTACTATTTTCACAGACATCAAGTCTTGGATGAGACTCAACTTTCTCCAACTGTGGCACCTGCAATCCTACTTGCTTGCTCACCCCAATTCTGGCAAGTTTCATATTTCCTACCCATTCCACCAACCATTGGTTGGTCAGGCTTTCAGCAACTTTGCTTCCGCTCTCTGGAATTCTTCCAAAATGTCTGTGCCCTGCTGTCTCGCTCTCCTTTCAAAGTCTGTCTAAAACCTTTCTTGTCAGCCACACATTTAGCCACCTTCCCTTCTTCCATCTCCCCCTAAGCTTGGCTCTCATTCCATTTTTTAAGCACTTTGAATGTTCTCCTACATAAAATGCACTGTATAAATGCAATTTGTTGATGAAACAAACTATATCATAATTCCATTTTACAATCACAAGAAAATCCTTAATTAAAATTTTGATGATGTTTGGGACAACACAGCATGCAGAAGGGTGCAGGATTGGAGATAGTTACTGTGCAAAACATGCATGGCAATAGTGGCATGATTTCAAAACTACTTGAATCCTCACTGTTATTTATTGTTGGCAGAGAAGACTAGTTGGCACTAGGCAACTCCTGGTATTTATTTTTATTTATCATCACATTGTAAAAATCAGTTTGTTGAAATCATATGGAAGTGATTGTAATTGGGCCACATCACATGTTTCCTTCTACACCCCAAATAAAAGCACTCCAGTGCAGTTGGAAGAAAATAATTGCAGGTTGTAAAATATTATATTGTGAAGTACTCACTTCATTTTGTGCATTAGGACTAATATAGTAGCTTTACAGCAATGTTTAGCAACGAATTATGAAAAGCAGGCTCTTTTGGGTCTTTTAACTTCTAAGGCTCTTTCTATGGTGAGAGGTGCCAATGGATGGTTTTCTTAGTAAATGGAAAGCTATCACATAATTTTCACAGTGGTTAAAGTTTTGGGGATTTCCTAACAATTGGTGTTAGTCAGAGGTTAATTAAGATGGCCCAGTCTGAAAGTGAAAAATAATGTAAACAATGTATATTATACTAGTATTGGAATATTTTTAACTGCTATGAGAGCATTGCATTATAAAACATGTTCACAATCTGAATATATATTTACAAAGCTAGACTGCTGTGGTATTTCAAGGGTGTACATGGAGGGGGTGGGGAAGGGGAGAAAAGGAAAGTAATGAATTGTTATTTGCGCTTGTCGTTTGTCTCCTGCCCC